ACCCCTGGACGCCAGGCTGATCTTTTCATCCAGCTGTGCCAGGAGTTGAGGTGGCACCTGACCCTGGGCAGCAGTGCGGAGATGGCCACTCCAGTTCCCTGGATCCCCTCCAAGCAGCCCAAGGGACAGACCCAGCCGATGGTGGCAGGAGAAGAGAGGGGCTGTCCCTCTGGCCAGCTCATCCGTCTGTGATTCCCAAAAGAACTGGGGAGCATAGAAGTGGCCATGTCTCCCGTCTGTGCCAGCGGCAGCTGGGGCGTGGGGAGGGGGATGGTTTTAGGCTGCACAGGGCCCGGGGAGCGCTGCCGTGGCCACAGGGTCTGTGGGTGGCCGTTTGCTCCAACGCCCTGGGCTGACCCTCTGGCCAAGGTGGTGTGACTGACTTCTGGACCTTGGCCCCCGCCCCCTCCTTCCTGCTGGATCAGAGAAGTGGGGAGAGGTGGACGTCACGGCCACCACCAACCACAGGGCACGGGACAGAGCAGGGGCCAGCCTGGTTCTTCACAAAGCCTCAAAGTCGTCCTGAGTCACAGTGAGTCTCAGCATCGCAGGGCATCAGGGCCGGACACTGGCCGCTCTGCCTGTTCAGTGCCCACCCGGGTGCGTTCCGACTGGGGACACCAAGGCCAGCGCAGGAAGCAGCCCGCCCCAGGAGAGGCCCTGCCTGGTGGAAGGACTTCCGTCTCTGCCTCCACCTTCCCAGCCTCCGGGGAGGCACGCCCCTCACCCCCACTCCTGCTTGGCCGACACAGGTCACCCCTGAGGTCTTGCCAGGCGTCACCTCTTCCAGGAAGCTCTCCCTGATGGCCACGCCCAGCCCCGTGTTCCCATGACGACCTTCACATCCTGGCAGGGTCGCAGCCCAGGTATTCGGACGCCTGTCTCTCACAGTAGCGTGCTCTGAGAAGGCAGGCCTGTCTGTCTGTCTGTCTTGTTCACTGTGGCATCCTGACGCTCATCAGGCGGCTGGAACAGTGGTCACATGACCTGTCTGGGAACCTAGGGGTGAGGAAGCTGGGATGTGGGTGTAGAAAAGCCGCCAACTGAATTCCGGGCTCACCTTGCGCTAGCATTGCAACCCCACACCCTGCCTGCAGAGGGCGACACGGAGGGGCTGTCTGGTGGTGGTGGACCTGGGGTGGCGTGACATTGGGGACGTCTTGGTGCCGGCGTTGCAGCTCACAGTGACGAGGTACATCCTGGTCCCAGGATCCCGAGACCCACGTGGGCTAGTTCAAAGAGAAGCTCTCCCGGGCCCCAGCTAGTGGTGGGGGTGGTCAATGGCGGCTGGACCCTGTTGATATTTGGGCTTCACTTTCTCCTCCCCCCTCCCCCATTAGTTTGGTGGCTATTATCACAGAATCAGGAGGAGTACACCCTGTGGCCCCAGGCTGCAGGGGGTGGGGGTTGCTGCAGAGAGAGGAGGACAGAGAAAGGGGTGGCCGGCCTCTGGGGACGGACCTGTGGAGCCCCGGGGTTCCCAGTGCCCGTGGGATTCCCCCACCTTTATGACCTTCCCAAGAGAAAGACCTGTCTCCCCGGCCCTCCCCACGGCGCCTGCTCCTGGCCGCCCCTGACCTCATCGGGATGTAGGGTCTGTACCTGGCCCACCTGCTCCGCTGGCCCTGGCCCTCCCTCCACCCCGCAGGCTGCGTGTCCCTCGGCCTCAGGGGGCCCAGACTCCAGCAGCCGGGTCTTTGAGGCGCCCGAGCCTCAGCGGCCTCTGAGCATCGGTGTTTCGCGGCTGTTGAGTCCTGGTCCCTCGCTCTGCACTGGAGTCCTTCACAGGAAAGTCCCGCTCAGCCTTGCCTTCCCCTCTTCTCCTGGCAGAGGAGCAGGCGGGTTTCATTTTGGTGAAGTTGCACTTGTCAGTGTTCTTTGACGGGCGGGCGGGGCTGCGGGCCTGTCTAGGAATCTCCCCGGGTGTCTGTGAGCTCCTCTGGGAGCCAGCGCAGCGTGGGGTCTGCCGCTGCATCCCTCATCTCTCAGGGATCGAGTTCCTCGCTCTCCGGGCCACCGTCTTGGAATCCACGGTTTTATTCATTTGGTCTGTTTTATGCTGGTGCCCAGCGGGAGATAGCTCTGATCCTTACCCCGGGTCTGAAGCCCCTGGTTGTGGGCATTATCTTATTCACATTGCTGCCCACGGCTCAGAGAGGTGGAGCGGGTTGCCCAGCGTCGGCCCGCACAGGTGGGCAGGACAGACGCCAGCCTGCACAGCTCCGCAGCCTGGTGCTGTCCACCGGATCCCCCGGACTCCAGGGACTGGGCGGGTCTCACTTGCTGTTTGAAGTTTCAGAGCCTGGAATGCGTCTTGGATCTGGGGTTGGCCCGCCGGGGACTCTCCTCCAGTCTTACTGGCTTGGCTTTGGGACTCGCTCCAGAGCCAAGGTAGATTCTTGGAACTCAGCTGCCTAATCTGCCAGCTGGAAATTCAGTTCTGAAGTGAGGTGTGCACAAAAGCAACCAGTCACATCCTTCTAAGCCCTGGTGGGACGGAGTCCAACCCCAGACGACAGCTCATCAGCTGGGCCAAGGACTCTAAGAGCCACGTGCCACCTCCTGCCCCTCGTGTGCTCCCTGCAGACATCACTAATCAATGAGACTCTCTCCTGCTCTTTCTGATGAACTCTTTCCTGCTGAGCTGCATTTAATCTCAAAGTCCAATCTTTGAAAAAACCCTCAACTTTCCCTCACCGTGGGGCAGGTTGGCACAGAGCTGGCCAGATGCCACCTGGCCTGGTACACACACCTCCCTGGACCAGGCTGTCACCTCCTCCGAAGGCCATGCCTCGTTGTCCCTTACGGTGCCTGAAACCTTCTCTCAGCGGGCAAAGAAATCCAGACGTCCCTGACGTTATGTTGTGCCCGAGGGGCACCCAGACCAGACAGCCCCGTGTCCTAGGAAAACTGGCGTCTTCGACTGCAGCGTGAAGGTGGCAACGGCGTCCCCACTTCATCGGGAGGGGTGTCTCCAGTTCCTGACGTGGGACGCGTGACCCCTGAGGGTCCTCCTTACCTTGATTCGGGACAGTTTTGTCAGTATCTTCCCTGAAATGTCAAGTCGTGTGACCTGATGGGAACTCCGCGGAGGGAGGGGCTGCTGCACCTGAGTCCTACCCGGGATTTCAGCCGCGTTTAGAGCGACGTCTCGTTCACGTGGCTCATGGGAGAAACAGGAGCCGTTTTCGCCTGACCCGGCCAGCCCAGAGCCCCTTCCCCATTCTGTGCGACCGAATCTGTGGGCCCAGAGCAGCACCCGCAGACTCTGGCCCTGGCTTATCTCACAGTCCAGCCTGTGATGTGGACAAAGGAGCCGTATTTTCGTGCCAGCCCAGGGCCAGGCACACCCTGACGACAGCAGTGACAGTATCCGTGACACTCTGCACACTTGCTGCCAGCCCCCCTCTGCTGGAGCGCATTGTGTACTTTTGATTCTCAGCAGCCCCTGAGGGAAGTCCTGTATCATTCCCATTTTATG